CGACCAAGCTGCAAGACATTTATCTGCAATTTTGTTTGATAAATGATACTTATTATATTATAATATCAACAAAATGTCTATATTATTATTCATCCCTAAATTGCCATGTTCTTCTTTCTCTATGTTTTTCAAATTTAAGTTAGAATTCCCCCTTTCACTATTTGTCTATGTGCAAGGTACCATTTCTTCTCTCTCACCCTCCCAGATCATGACTACAATAGACACAAACCTGCATACACCAGTTTTGGCGTAAAAGATTTTTAGACTTTCTCTGTTTCTATCCACACAGTTTGCAGAGAATTGAGTAAGACCATAGCATGCAACATAAAAATATCAGCCTTTGAAAAAGAATGGCTTGCTCAATTTCTGTGGATCGGATATGACAACATATAGGTAACAAAAAAGGTATCACCAAAATGTATTACTGGGGTGCCAAAAGGCATGGTGGAAGATTTTGGTTGTGCCTAAATTCATAAATGTACTAGCACACTTGCATAAAAGTTAGGCAGAGCAGTGCAACCAATTGCAAAATGTTAGTGTGAACCCCTGTGATGTAACATGCTTTGCTCTAAACACTTTCGAAACTGAAGCTCATTTCTCTCACTCAACAAGAAAAGGGGCAGTGGGATATAGGAAGAAAAGAAAGGAAGAGAAGAGAGGCATTACAAGTGTTCAGTTGTTAAGATGTGTTGAAATTGTTAGAACATTGGCTGAGTTGAAAATTGAATGTTTTTTAAAATTAAGGACTTTATTTAAGATGTGTGTTTTTAAAAAAGCTTTCTGTAATGTATTTTATTTTTTACTTAACATGAAAAAAGAACATTTATTTTTATAAGAGTCTTTGATTTTAATCCCTCTAGTTTAATGTGAAAATTGACAATAAATATTGTCAAAACATGACTGCATCACACTTTATTTGATTTGATGGTCAGTTTTTGACAACATCCAGACATTGCCACAGCTGATATATCAATTTATGTTGCAATAAATCACAATACAGATAGTAGGATGTTCATGACCTTCTCTTAAGCATATTTCCTCTTTTTTGACCCCTCTGAATTTTAATTGAACACTCGTGTATGTTTTTTTAATACTGACCAGTGAACGTGGCGACCGGCTGGTAATACATTGTGCAGGAGCTCTGAGTTGATAAGCAATATAAGCAATGTAAGATAGGTACAGATGAGGACATTAAAAGACGAAACAACAGCAAATCCGAACAGCTTCTCTTTTGATGGGAAAAAATACTCATACATGCTACATCTCCCGCTTTAATCCGTCCTCATCTTTTAACTCTGTTGTCATTGAACACATAACTGTACCACAATGTTACTGAGACTAAAAAAAACATTCTCTGTATGTTCAGTGAGTACTGTTTAAAGCTCACATACAGTGAAAAGGCAGGTTTGTGGTTCTCAGCAATCACAGTTTCAGTTCTGTTTTTGCTATATTTATGCAGCGCTGCAGACTCTCCACACATCCATTCATTTCAGCTTACAGTCATAATCGTCATGAACCCTCCTGATGCCTCTAACACCACATCAGCCAAAGCCAGGCTGTGTGCAGTGACAGAATTTAGAGAGGGATGGATGAGAAACAGGCAGATTACTCACTGCTTTGTGGCTCCATGCTGCTGGGAGTGTCTCCAGAGTCCTGGGGAAGTCCAACAGTCCAGTAGGACATTCCTCCTGCAGTCACTGATGAACTACTATCAGAGCAGAGGCATGGATTCAGCTATCACCCTGCAGTGACAGACAGAAATCACAACCCCCTGAGGTAAAACTGAACATGACATGTTTCATACAGGAAGGATTTAGAGCAGAGCTGTTTTGGATGTTCTGGATTCCATAAGGTTGTGTATGCAATTGTACTGTGCTATGTTTTAGGTAAAACATACAAAAACACACACACAAACACACTTTTAATTATTTTATAAAAAATATAGAATTTGTATATAGTTAAATTAGTGCACTGCCTGTTCTAAAACTTCCTGTTTGGATTGGGCTGTTTACTGCGATAATGCTGGTTGCAGTTTTTTTTTGTGAAACTGTAAAAGTGACCTGCAGTAATTGAGCCACAGCAGGTAAAGACCGGCTGCTGGACTCAGTCCTCAGAAGCCTGAAGCTGCACCACAGCTGCTGCACAAAGAGCTGCTCAGTGAAACTTGATGAACTTCAGAATAACTTGTTGCTGTTGCAGTGAATGACAACATCACTATTGTCCATAGCAGCCACTGCCACAGAGCATTGGTTGCCTGTTTAAAACAGGTTTCAACTAATGTTAAATGTACTGAACTTCCTAATCCCACCCATACAGAGAGACAGTCAGACATTTCTGGTTATATTTAATGTTGTCTTACTTTATTTTATTATATATATATATATATATGATCTAATTAAAATTTGTGTTTCATTTAATTCTATTTTCAAATCTGAGTAAAATCTACAGATAAACTCTCCAACATTAACAAAAAGAGAGCAAGAGAACTATAATTGTTGTATCTGTTTTCAAAAATCCAGCAGATCTAAATCCAACCCCTTTCCAAGTAGCAAAGGATTCCTGGAAAAAAAAAAAAGTGGGTTTCCGTCTTTCAACTGGAATTTTTTTCCATTATGCTTGTTTAAACCACCAATATGTCACTCATTGAACCGGCGTCATTCACAGTGCATTAAAGTGCTTAACATGATCATGTAGGTGCACTATGAAATCTACTCTGAACCAGAGAGGAGATTGAAAACTCCTTATAGGAGACATTCAACATGAGCAGGCCTTACAAAGTTCTTCTTTCTATGGAGCCAGAGCAGTGACACTAAAAGTTGGCACTGAAATCAAAAGCTGAACCAACAATAAAATATTGGCACTGAAATTCTGGGGCTGAAAAAAAATACATTGGCACTGAAACAAGTTTCGGCACTGAAAAAAAGGTATCACTGAATAACAAAACACAAACATTTAAATGAAAGTACATTTGAATTTGACCAGTAATATTTCTGTGAATCAGTATTTCCAGTTTATACTGTCAATATAACAGCCACTTATCTTTCCAGAAGTAAAAACCTTTTTTCTTTATGGCTGAAACACATTAGACCTTCATCACAAGCTCTGGACACACTCTCTATTCACTTTTCTCTTGCAAACATACATCATCTCTCCCTCTCTTCCATCCTGTGTCATGAGGTGGGCTTTACAAACCACTGAGATGATGTCTATGCACCCCCCCTGTCTTTCCCCCACTGCTACTAGATGCTGCAAAAAGAACAAGTTTGGAGCCTGTTGGAAAAGTTGAGCTGTTTTAAAAAAAAACACTGCCATTTGAAATCAGTGACTTCCTCTGTGTGAAATCAAAAAGAGAAAGTTGGACCCCTTCATTACAACACAAATCACGGTTGTTATGAACGCCCACTCGTGTGTTCCCTTCAATCGCATCCTCTCGTCCCGACTCATGACACCGCGAGCTGTCACAGTTTGCACCAGACGACATGTGGCGGTGAACTCACCGCATGCTCGCAGCTCCAGACGGCTTCAGCGCAGTGAACTTCTCACAGGCGGAGATGACACGGATCGGTGTTTGACATCAACATCGGACTGAACTTCCTGATTCCACGATGCAAACTTTCCAATCCAACACACACACACACACGCGCGCGCTGTGTCAGGGCAGACGAGTCCGAGCGGGACGAACGACTCTTTCCTGCCCGTGTCGTCGGAGACTTTGATTAAACCGAGTTTCCTCCGTGTGCCCGGGGACGCCCTCCTGTCGACCGGTGTTCACGCTGCGCTCGCGCTCCTGGGCTTCCCGCAGCTGCTCGTGTTGACTGCGGACATTATTCACCGCATCCAAAATCACAGCTCATTGGTGGAAAGCTCCGCAACGCAACTGCAGCGGACCCTCCGCCCCTCCTCTGTGCGAGCGAGCACCCGCCCCCCGACCGTACCTCTGATTGGTTTAGTTTTAGAGACGACGCGTGATGATTGGTTAGCCTTAGGGGATGTTATCAGGGTAAGCCAATAGGAGGCAGAGTAGGGGCGGGTCGGCTCCTGGCTTGAGCGATATAAAATTGAAACAAAAAAAAGTTTGAGCCTTGTTCGGCACGCTGCTCGCTCATGCCGGAAAAAGCCGAAGAGCTGTTCTCCACGTATTTCCCCACATGATCTTTTTCAATAATAAGTTGTTGATTAGAATTGTCTCCAGTCAGTCCCACTCACCGGGCTGAGACACTTTATCCCCATCTACTAACATAACAACAGCAGCTCCAGTGTTTCCTATGGAGGGCAAATAAAAAAGAGCCCCCTGAGGTTTTAACTTTATTTGCATGAAGCACACTTGCAGCCTTCTATTTATAGTTGACCAAGACTAATCCAACCGGTGAGCCTGGTGTGAGCTGCTGTGTTCTGTCAATATTTACACCTCAATGATTCGAAGATTTCCCTGAAGATGAACTCAGAATTGATGTTATTTAAATGACCATTCATTTGCAAACTTCCCCTGTAATAAATGCGTTTTGTCAGGCCATGTTATACGTGTCTATAGAATATATAGAATGTCCCATTATATTATGGCAACCAAGTAAATGAGAATGATCCTTCCCCAGATCCAATGTTATTCATTTGTCTGATTTAACTGAGACTTATGTGTGAATGTATACTGTGTGTGTGTGTGTGTGTGTGT